TTGGTTTCCCTTTTCTTTGTTGAAGAGGGTCTGTGCAATCCTTCTGCCTAGTCCGCCATCTTGCCCCGCCTCCCCTTCCTTTCTTAAGGTAACAGGACTCATAGAAGTACAAATGGGACCTCAGGGAGACACAGGTCCTTTTCTCCAGAATGGTGGGTTTCAACCATGGAATATTTGGCAATGCCAGCAGACATTTTTGATTGTTGTGACTGGCTTCTATTGGGTAATAGTGTAGGCTGCCAAATATCTATCAATACACAGTGCAAATCCTCCCAACAAACAGTTATATGGTCCAAGATGTCAGTAGTGCCAATGTTGAAAAACTTCAGTCTAGAAAATACTCTCAAAACCTCCAGCTATTCAGATATCTGAGTCAAGTGTTTCAAAAAGGAGTATAGAACTGCTTGTATCAAGACTCTGTTCTTTTTTTTTTTAACTCTGGTATCTCCCTAGAGCCCAGTTTCAATTGATGGGCATATTGGAGAAATAGGTATGATACATTCATGTGTGTGCACTTGTACTTATATTTCCTTGTATCTTCTTAAACAGAGTTTTTTCTACTCCTGGGTTTCCATGGAACCTTGTATACACCTCTGCTTTGTCATATGTACTCTGTCTATGTCTACTCTGTCTGTAATTGTCTGTTTTTCCCACAACACCCTTTGTTCCTGCAGAGCTGGCCTATGTCCTGCTATATATGCACAACCAGCTTAGCATGGGGTCTGGCACAGGGAAGTGCTTAGTCAGTTTGTATAGAGGAGGGAAGATGGAATGCATGTATGGATTGTGCAGAGATGTGGGCTGAGTCTGCTTGTAGGTCATGCCCATCTGAGTAAGGAGTCTTACCCATAAGGGGCACCATTGAGGGTAGGTGTTGGTGATTTGGTGCAACTTGAGCATGTGGCACTTACCAGCATTTCCAAAACAAGGGTAAAGGTTCTAGAGAGGTAATCCCTGCTGCCACCAACAGGCATTTTACCCCAATGAGACTTCTGAAAGCTGATTTCCAGATAAACTTAGCCATGGACTTAGAAGCCAAACACTTCTATGGTGAGAACAACTCAGTGGCATGATCATACTGTGAAAGGTATTTGAAAATCAAGTTTTGAATAAAATTAGCATCCTAGAGTCCTCCAGGTGGCACCTTGTAGGACTTTGATATGAAGAGCTATATACAGAAATAATGATTTTTTTTTTAAAATTGCACTAATTAGCTACAATACAAAAATACTTGGTTGCAAAGGTCACTTGATTTTCAAATGGATGCCTGTGTTCCAAACAAGCTGATATTTCTACATATTTTTTGTCTTAAAACTTTTCTGTTCCTTGGTTTTTAATTAGACATTATTAAGCAATTTAGAGATAAGTCCTTTTACCACCCTAAAATAATTTATGTTGGATAGGAATACAAATAAATTGGATAGGAAGTGGATAGTTTGTATTTGCCTATTCAGCAAATATTGACTAAATGCTATCTATATACCAGGCATTGTTTTTCACACTGAGAATAAAGCAAGGAATGGGGCCAAGTTCTTACCCTCATGGAGTTTGCAGATTAATGAGACAGTCATACAAATGAATATAATATATAAGTGCTATGAAGAAAAATAAAGACAGAGCGAGGGGCTTGTGCACAGAGTAAGTGTTGTGCGTATATGTGTGTGTTTTATTTTAGAAAGAGTAAGCAATGGAGGGGTCTTCTGAGGAAGTAATATTTGAACAGAGACCTGTATGAGGTGAGGGAGCGAGTGAGCTCTGAAGATCTAGAGGAAAAGGGCTCCAGATGGAAGGAACAGCACAGAGAAATGCCCAGTGCAGGAATGAGTTGGATGACCTGAAGGAACAGGAAGAACGTCTGTGTGGTTAGTCAGGAGTGATGGTAAGGGATGGTAGTAGTGGCTGGGGATAGGGAGAAAGGCAGGGCCAGGTCTTAAAGGCCTTTAGGACATGGCAAAGAATTTGGGTTATGTTTTGAGAGAGATGATAAACCATTAAGAGCATGGTTTCAAACACAATTTGATTAAACTTTAAGTTTTCCTTGGGTACTATGTGAAGGCTTGATTTGGGGGATTGAGGCAAAAGGAGAGGCAGTGGTGGTGTGGATGAGGGTAGTAGTAGTGATACTGAGGGGATGGTTTTGGAATAGGCATTGGTGGAGCAAAGACAACTTGCTAATGGATTGAGATGGGGATGGTGGCTGTGAGGGAAAGTAGAAACCAAGAGTGGCTCCTGAGATTTCAGCTGGGTTAATGAGACTGCCATTTGCTGAAGTGGGGAAGACTTCAGGGAGTTGTCTTCTTTTCATATACTATGTTTAAGAGGTAAGAGCTCTGGTGGTGCAGTGGTTAAGTGCTCAGCTGCAAACAGAAAGGTCAACAGTTTAGGTTTTTTATACTAAACTTTTGAAACTTGGTATATATTTTATACTCATAGCACATCTCATTTATCAAAAATCCAAACCCACTGCCATCTAATCAATTCCAACTCATAACGACTCTATTGGCCACAGTGGAATCACCCTATAGGGCTTTTAAGGGTGTGAATGGACAAAAACTCTTGCAGAGCGGCTGGTGGATTTGAACTGTTGACCTTTTGGTTAGCAACCAGATGCTTTAACCACTGTACCACCAGAGCTCCTCACATCTCATTTAGGACACTAAGTTTTCTGTGGTTAAAAAAAATGAAAGGTAGTCGTACTAAAAGCAGTAATTTTGTGATTAACAGGAAAATATTTTAGACTTACTCAGTTTGGATGTGGCAAATAAGGCCATGGAAATAGTTGAGACCAACTAGGGAGTGGGGGGAGTGAGTGAGTCTGGACCCCAGAACACTCCAGCCTTTGGAGTCTGGGTGGAGGAGATGGAGCAGCAAAGCCATCATTTTGAGGAGTGCCAGTGAGGAGGGTAAACCAGAAATTGTGGAGTCCTGGAAGCCAAGTGCAGGAAGTGTTCTAGAGGAAGAATGATTAGTTGTGTCAAATGCTACTATGAAGCTTATTAATATCAAGGCCGAACATTGCCTACTAAATTTAGCAAGGTGGACGTCATTGGTGACCTTTACAAGGGCAGTGATGAAATGGGAACAAAAGCCTGAATGGAGTGAGTAAAGGAGAGAAAGTCAAGTGAAGAAGTGGAGCCAATGAATATAAACAAATCTTTGAAAGAAATTTGTTGTAAAAGGGAGCAGCGAAATGGGATTTTAGCTGGAAAGAGTCTAAGGAGGTTTTTGTTTGTGTGTGTGTGTGTGTGTGTGTGAGAGAGAGACATTGTTTTTGATTAGGTTTGTTTTTAGGTTGAGATGAAAGTGATTGCAGCATATTTACATACTGATGGGAATTATCCAGAAGAGAGAGAGGATTTGACATTGGTATATGTGGTGAGGGTCAAGGAGGGATTTTATTCTAGGGGTGGTGGGACTCTCACTCCTGCAGCAGACTGTAAATTGGCATGTGGGGGTGGTGTCCTGTGCACAAGTGGATGGGTTGCTGTTAGCTAGGAGCAGGGACAGGGGAGAGTGAACAGTATACCTGCAGGTAGGTTGGCCTGTCTGAAGATCTGAACCTCAGCAATAAAGTAGAGAAATAGCTACCCAACAGTGTTCTCATGAGGATGAAATGAAGTGATGAAAGTGAAAGCACTTACTAAATTATAGTGCAATGGGTATAGCCTTATTTTTCTATTGAAGATAAGATTTTCTATAATGTTGGCTTTATTTGTGAGGGAGCTTGCAACAATGCCAGTTTTCATGAAACATACATATTGGGGTTTGTGAATACAAAAAGTCTCACTTTATGATGCCTTTAAACATGCATATTTTCTTTGTTTTTCAGAAATGGATATAAGTTTCTCTACTGCTCTGCACGTGCCATCGGGATGGCAGACATGACAAGAGGATATTTGCACTGGGTTAATGAGAGGGGCACGGTGTTACCTCAGGGACCGCTACTGCTGAGCCCAAGCAGTCTCTTCTCTGCCTTGCACAGGTACTGCACGTATAGGTTCAATCTGCCTCCCACTCCCAGATCTTTCGACTAGTTCACACTCTCTTTGTTCCTGACTGGAAGTTTTGCAAGAATAGCCTTTTAACTGGTCTTCCCCAACCAATATCTAAATTAGCACCAGAAAAATTACTGTAAAATACAGTTGTAGCCCTGTCACTGCCTGCTCACCACCCTTCCTTGGCTCCTCATGGCTCTCAGGATCAACTCCGGTTCATTAGCTTGGCACAGTGTGACTCTTCATGATCTGACCCTGCCCTCTTCTCCAGTTTCTAAAACTCAGTTATCTTAAACTATTTCCACTTTCCAGAATGATAGTCTTTACTTTGAGCTTGTCACATCCTGTTCCCCTTTTGGGGATCACTTGTCTTCCCCCTTCCCCATCTCTGCTTTGGCCAGCTAAGTCTTAAATGGACCTTTGAGAATCAATTTGTATCCACATAATCTGAAACCTGGGTTGGGTTTAGTGGCCCCTCTACCAGCTGTCACCACCCACCTGACTTTGGGCTCCCATAATGCTTGTTCTCTTTTCTCAGAGCTGTAATTACACCGTTAATTTGAATGGTCCTATAACACACCACTAATGAACTCTGGTAGCACAGTGCCTAAGGCATCTCATTGCTAGCCAGAAAGTTGGTGGTTCAAATCCACTAGTCACTCTTGCAGAAGGAAGATTGGGCAATCTACTTCTGTAAAGATTTACCTCATCGGAAACCCAATTAGAGTCACTATGAGTTGGAATTGACTCAATACCAATGGGTTTGGTTTTGGTTTTTATAACATGCCACTAGCCAATTTCTGATTATGCTTCTCTCCCTTCACCTTTCCAGCCTTATTCAAGGAAGCTAAACCAATCTAGCCCTCACCTCATTGGAGTACCAAAAAAAAAAACCCAAACTCACTGCTGTTGAGTTAATTTGACTCATAGCAACCCCTCCTTGGGTTTCCGAGGTGATAATCGCTACAGAAGTAGATTGCTCAATCTTCCTTCCGAAGAGTGGCTGGTGGGTTTGAACTGCCAGCTTCTGGTTAGCAGTCAAATGCCTTAGGCACTACGTTGGAGTGGGAGGAGGAAAACATGGGACTTCTGCTTAGGCCCAGAGCAGTTCCCAGACTTCTCCCAAAGCATAAACCAGTGCCATCACCTACAGAACAGTAGTCCTGCCAAAGGGTAATTGCAAATATCATGTAGTTGTATTTTTCAGACCTACTGTATAGCTTTTACATGATTCTGCCTGAATTTGGTCTCCAGATTAGCTCCTTCCTGTTACTAACCTTGCAAAACCGTGGGAAAACCCGGAGGAGTCGAAAACTTCATGTTGAGTCTTGAATATTTTTCTTCACCTCTATAGATGCCTTTTCCATCTTTTTTTTTTTTTCCCAATTGTGATTTGGGTGAAAGTTTACAGAGCAAATTCACTTTCCATATAGCTGTTCACATACACTTTGTCTCATGACAGTGACTACAATTTACCCCAATGCAACAGCTCCCTTCCCACTTCCTCTGAATAGTTACCCCTGTCCTGTGTCTTATTCCTCTGTGCACTCCTGCCCCCTGAGCTGTCTCCCTGTGCGTAAACAGCCCTTCTTTCTCCCATGATTGTTCTCTCCAAGGAGTGTATCTACGTCAGGTAAACGTTCAACTCATATGCCTGTCTTTTGTTTGGCTGGATGCCACAGGTGTAGGTTCAGTTCTAGACCTGAAGGGCAGGTAGGGGCCATGGTCTTAGTGGTTCCATCAGGCTCTATCAGACCAGCAACCTGGTCCCCCCCCCCCCTCTTTTTTTTTCCCCAAATGATTTTGAGTTTTGTTCCACATTGTTCTCCCTCTCTATTCAGGATCTCCTACATAGATCCCCCTCTGAGTGGTTGACAGTGGTAGCCGGGCACCATCTAGTTCTTCTGGTCTCATAGTTGTATAGGCTGTGGATCGCATGGTATACCAGCCGCTAGGACTAATTGTTTCCATGAATCTTTTGTTTCCATCTTTGTTTTGTCTAGTAACTTTTTCCCTGTAGTAAATGAGCTCATTTTGAAATGTGCATGTTCTTGGGAGAAAATTCTGGCAGAAATTATGGATTCTATAGTGTATTTCAAGTCCCAAGAGTGGTGGTAACTGTGGATCTCAGTAGAAATCCAGATGTGTTAAGGGAATGGTGTCCCTGAGTTGTGACAGTTTGCAACAGGCAACTTATTAGCATGTATGAAGTAGGATGTCTTTGCTAGGGAAAGTGTCATTACTCTCACATTCTGCCACTAAAAATAAATTTAAGGTGTGGTCCTTGTCATTTTTTCCTTATTATAAATACCACTTTTTGCCTACGAGGAATTATTTTAGAAAACAAACAAACAAAAACCACTTAAAATTTTTCCTCTTTGGAAAATGCTTCACATGTCAAATGGACAACAGCCTGGTGCTTTCTAGCTACAATCTAACCAAAACCATTGGATGTGTTAACTGTTCTGCAGGTTTTCTTTCTAGAATTGATGGATGAGTTGAATGACCTTCCTTATTTGTGTTAGTTTCCTGTATTTGTTTATCATGGGCTGCTGTAATGAAGTGCCACTAAGAGACTGGCTTTAAACATCAGAAATTTATTGTCTCATAGTTTTCTATGAATTTTCTCATAGTTTTCATTTATTGTCTCTGGAGGCTCTAAGGAAGAATCCTTTTGTGTCTCTCCTAGCTTCTGGTAGCTCCAAGTGTCCACTGGCCTGTTGATACATCTTCACATGCCACGTTTCCTCTTCTGACAACCTCTGTCTCCCTTTCTTCTTCTTTTTGTTTATTGTATGGCTACATTTATATGAAATATCTAGAATATATAAATGAATAGGGATAAAAAGTAGATTACTGGTTACTGTGAACTGGGGGAAGGGGAGCTAGGGAGCCATGGCTTAATGGGTACAAAATTTCATCTGGGATCATGAAAATATTTTGGAAACAAACAGTGGTGATGGCTGCACAGCACTGTGAGTGATCAGTGCCACTGGTCCGTACACTTGATAATGGTTAAAATGGCAAATTTTTGTTTGTTTTTAATTGTGATTTGGGTAAAAGTTTTTAGAGCAAATTCACTTTCCACACAGCAGTTCACTTTGTCTCATGACATTGACTACAACTTACTACAATGCAACAGCTCCCTTCTCACTTCCTCCCCATAGTTACCTCTTCCCTGTGTCCTTCCCTCCCATGCATTCCTGCCCCCTGAGCTGTCTCCCTGTGCATACACAGCCCTTCTATTCTCCCATGATTGTTCTCTCCAAGGAGTGTATCTACTAGTGTAAATGTTCACCTCATATGTCTATCTTTTCTTTGGCTGGAAGTCACAGGAGTGGGTTCAATTCCAGACCTGAAGGGCAGCTAGGGGCCATAGTCTCAATGGTTCCATCAGGCTCTATCAGACCAGCAAACCTAGTCTCTCCCTTTTTTTTTTTTAATGATTTTGAGTTTTGTTCCACATTGTTCTCCCACTCTATCCAGGATCTCCTACAGAGATCCCCCTCCGAGTGGTTGACAGTGGTAGCCGGGCACCATCTACTTCTTCTGGTCTTATAGTCGTATAGGCTGAGGATTGCATGGTGTACCAGTCACTTGGACTAATTATTTCCATGAATCTTTGGTTTTCTTCATTCTTCTTTGCTCTGGATGAGGAGAGACCCATTGTTGCATCTAGATGGTGCTTGTAAGCTTTTAAGATTCCAGTTGCTACTTGCCAAAGTAGGATGTGGAACAATGTTTCGTATGTGTAGTATGTTATGCCAGTTGAGCTGGATGTCCCCTGTGACTATGGTCCCCAAGCCCACAGGTCCAACTACTCTCTCACTCTGGGTAGCTGGCTGTGGCCAAGAAATGACTACAACCTTGTCCCTTATCAGCTCTACTCTATACCTGGGAATTCTTACAGAACATACCAATACACTTGTAGAAACATTGTCTGCCAACCCTATACATGGTCTTGGGCAAACTACCCCCCTGCACAGACATACCTAACAGTTCAGCCTTTCCATCCATCTGTCCAGCCATATATCCATGTTTGCCTTCACTGATAACACAGCACTGTATGTTCAGAAGGGTTCATCTTTGTTGTCTATACCTCCCCTGTACCTCTTTATGTCTTCCTCTTCCTTGATGCCACCATGTTGATCACTGACATTTGGTACATTGTCCTTCTCTTTACCCAAATCAATACTTGTCTGTATCAATACCTATCTAACAGTGTTCCCTTCCTTACCCTCCCGCCCCCGTAACCAACAAAGAAAATTTCCTTCCATATATAAACCTTTTCTTGACTTTTTACAATAACAGACTAATACAATATTTGTCCTTCTGTGATTAACTTATTTCACTCAGCATAATGTCTTCCAAGTTCACCCACAGTGTTTTGTAGATTCTACGTTATTTTTTAGAGTTGTGTAGTATTCCATTGTGTATATATACACCATAGTTTGGTTATCCATTCTTCAGTTGATGGACACCTAGGTTGTTTCCATCTTTTGGCTATTGTAAATAGTGCTGCCATGAACATGGGTGTGCATATATCTGTTCTTGTCCTGGCTCTCACTTCTTTTGGATATATACCTAGTAGTGGAGTGGCTGGGTCAAATGGTATTTCTAATTCCAACTTTTTAAGGAATTGCCATACTGCTTTCCACAGTGGTTGTACCATTTTAAAGTCCCACCAGCAGTGTATGGGAGTCCCAATCTCTCCACATCCTCATTAGCATTTGTTATTTTCTGAAAATGACAAATTTTATGTTATGTACATTTTACCACAATTTAAAAAAAAATGGTATTAGTCAAAGAATATGCTGTAGCAGCAGGAGAACTTCTGAATACTGAGAAAAGAAACAGGATCCAAGGTGGCCTAGACAAATTCAGGGGAAAATTTTGCCTGGTGCAGTGGCTTAAAGTGGAGGAACGCTTTTTATGAAGAACTAGAAAACTAGCTCGTGTAGCTTAGAGAGAGCCGGTAAAGGTCCCA